ACAAAAATGATTACGTACATCTACATAAATATATTCATGAAAATTATAAAAAGAAATGTATCGTGGTAATTTCAATTAAAGATTTTGATATCACTACCAGCAATCTTTAATTATGTTTTTTTTTTCATTTTTACCTAATGCCATTTTTGTATTGTAATTAAAAGGTATATAAATATTTCTAATTAACATTGACGTTGTTTACAAATTCTTACATGAAAATTTTTACTTGTAAATTAAATTATGTATATTAAATTATGTATATTATTTAAAAAAATATTAGTCTTGAAAGAATGTATTTGCGAGAATAATCTCAGAATATATTAACTATCAAGAAAAAGAATAGATTAGTTCACATTTTGTTTTCTCATTATCTTTGAAGATAATATGTACGAACAATAAAGCAATTTGTGTATGAACTGCCCGTATCGTTCTTTAAAGACTCGAGAGTACAGCAGTCCATGTACATTGCGATGCATGTACCACCTGTTTGCTCGCGCCTATATTCCGACGATGCATATAGGCAATCCGAATCTTTGACCGTTTTGTTATATTACTTTGTTGTTGCAATTACATATTATAACTTTACAGAAATATTTCGTATATATTTCATTTACAACACATCACAGTATAAATATCATTCTCATATAACAAGTAACCGGATACATGCAGCCACATAGTATCCCCTACATTTCTCGAATTTGACTCAGATCCGATAACATTTTAATTAACTGCCTTTTCTGTTTCTATCTAGAAACTCTACAACATCGATTATAATACAGATGATTATACAAAATTCATCAATTAATTTATATTTTACAAGTTTCTCATTTTTACATTAATTTTGAATTTCGATTAATCATTAGAAATCGTATGCAATTACTATTATCGTATAATCATATTGAATTCATTATTATTTGAAATATCAATCGTGATTATATTTTCATTTTTATTATTCTGTTTGTGTAACGGTCACATCAACTTAAGATTAGATGTTCGAAATTGTGCAACTCGACCAAAAATACTACTTCATAGTTGTGGGAGTAGGAGATCGAAAAAGATCAGTGTCAGACATCATAATACCGCGTTTGAGTCACCGTTTTCACGGTTCATTGAGGTGCATCATTGTGACCGCACTAAAGCAGACGTCTTAAAAGCAGCGATATTATTACACAGTCTGTTTTGACTATGTGTATTTAGGAAAACTCGTCATGTCTGTAACTTCGTCATGTCGAGTGCTGCGACATGCAATCGGCACATTCGTAAGGCAACAAAGTACAGCTTGAAATCCGAGCCGAGGTTTAGAAATTGCTAGTTGCAGAACCGGTAAATCATACTTCTTCCTCGAGCCAACGACAAAGAAACATACTATAGGCATTTAGATTCATAAGAAAACTGTTTTTTATGCACAGAACATCACGATTCTTTTGTACGTAATTTTAATCTTAATTATCATTTGCTAGCACGCTAATTTCATAACGTATCTAGTTTATGTAACTCGGAATTTCAAGAAGTTTGGATATATATAAAAAATCTTATTGCGTAAAAATTATAATTTTAAATTTAAACGATAACTTTAATTTCATTTTTGTAGAGTAAATTCTGCTCGAAATTTTTTACGAAGTCGTCATACGCGGAAAACACTAAAAATACAAACGAAACGTGTGGAAAAGATTACGATGCTCTTCATTTTTCCTGGAACGAAAACATATCGCGCGAATAACGAAAAACCGTCGAATAGCGATTCATACGATGCACACACGTTGATGAAATCACGATTGGCGTTCCGCCAGAATCACTGTTGACTTTTCCACGATTTGATCGCAATTCCCCAAATATCCAAGCTCTGATTTTATAATCTTTGCAAAAGAGATCGAAATCTTTGCAAGCTGTCCCTAAAATCGGCGGAATGCGAACATTACGTCGTGTCGAGATATAAATTGTATTTTTTTTCCTCAACAAAAACGTCAAGGTCATTCTCTTAATTTTTCCGCATCTATTGATAATTCATAAACAAAATGACAATGGAAGATAAGCAGTTGTAACACATAATCGATCGAAACTATCGGTGTTAGCCGAGATTTATAATATTCATAGATTCCAAGAAAAAAAAACAGTATGACGTAGCAAGGATACAAAAGTTCCACTTATTATTTACTTGTAATAATTAAGAGAATTACACATGGGTAGATTATCAATAGTCATCTCATGATCGCTACAAGGCGATCCTTATGTAAACTCACGCCTCTCATATGTATATATCTAACTGTCCATAGGAGAGACGTGTATGAGCATCCAAGAAAGGGTAATGCGCGACACAAACGACATTGTACAAACGTCATCTTCATTGATCGTTCAGTGGCCACGAGCAACTCGTCATTCTTGGAAACATCATGAGAGTAAACTACACAATTTACAAGAAAATTTGGCTACGGTTTCTATACAAACTTACTTCTGCAAAACACGAGTACAGATAATTAACAAAGACTATTTTTAAACTATGAAACATTCGCAGATAAGCGCGTCCTCGTCGAAGATTAAAATGATCTTTCGCAACTCGGAGCAACGTAATTTTTCAAACTCTCAAGATAAACATTTTAATAATTACATTTGTAAAAAGTTGGAAAAAAATAATCTAAGAATAGCAGGAGCAATGTAATTTTTGCTCTTCTGCATTTCAGAAAAATTAATTCCGTAAAGGAAAAATCACTGTAATTATTCGCGTAGAATCAAACAATGCACACGTCTGAATCGTAGAAATGGTTTGTAGAAACTCTACGGATATAGAAGAAAAAAAACAGAAACTAAATATCGTATATCAAGTATATCGCAATAATAAATGTTAATGCAAATCATTCTCACATAACAATTTTCCTCGCGTCAGGTGTTCCGCACGAAAGCGATAGGCGAGAGATCACGAACGCTTACCTTGCAGACGGCTCTTCGTCGTCATATCTTAGCATAGTAAGACTTTCATTTCGCTCTTCGTGACCGTCGGAAGAAATTCGCCCTTCGCACGCTTCCGTTCCTACACTCACACACGATAAACAGTCGGCGCGATCCGAGTCTTAATCAATCTGTGACTTTCTCCGATCACTGCTCTCGTCTACGTCATCATAGCGATATCGCATCATAGTGAAATTTCCAGAAGGAAACTTTTCGCTGACGATTAAACGTTTTCAATGGCTGGCTTTTCGATGCCGACGCGTCGTCGCCTTAGATCTTTCCCTCGAGATGCATATCTATGGACCTGCGCGCGAGTTCTTATAGTCTCCGACATGTGCTCGAAGATCGATTGAATTTCCTCACAGGGTTAAGGTCGCGGAAAAATCTCCGATCGAGCGATAAGAAGGGAGGGTGTGCGTCACGGCGGGGCCCGACCACGAACCAGTCGTGAAAATTCGTAATTATTTTGCGAAAAAATACCACCTCAGCTAGGAATCGAATCTGGATCTTCTGTTTACCGGGCAGGCATCTTATCCTTTCGACTACAGAGGCATGTGATGGTATTTATCGCAAATAACGTGTTTAGAATAATACGTTACAATACAATGATACACATATATACATATATCACAATATACATATATACATGTATATTCTATCGAATCCTCACGACCGGTTCTCTCAAAGAAATGATGGTTCTAGTCTCTCGATGGATGCAGGTCGAACTGTAGCGGTGATACTCTCCAACGCCACTGGCAAATATACAAATAATCCTCCTGGTGCGCGGCAGGAGAGATTGCATCAAGCATGGCTCGAGCTCCCGACATCAAATATCGAGAGAGTTTCTTTTCAATTTTTCCCGTCTTAAGAAGAGACCGTTCGTTGTTCGATTATTTTCCATACGGCAGCGGAACGAAGCGGGGAAAGTAGCACCGATCAGCGTTATAAAAGAAGAACGCCGATATCACACTGGACACGCCACTCGAAAAAGCTCGCGACCTTACGCGATCACCGCGATCGTTCGATTAGAAAAGCGCCGCAAGCTTTGAACGCCGGTCAGTCGAGAGACCCAGCCGAGGCTCTCCTCCGGTTCTCTCTGTCGTCCCAAATATAAATCCGGCAGCAATAGCTATGCAATAGCGATACGTTCCACGATATTTAAGCCAGCGTAAATCCCAGCGAGGTTTACCGAACGAGATCTCGCGAAGCCCCGACGTTCATCCGATCCGGCGAATTCGTTTCGAGAATCCCGACCGTGCCGCCAAAGGCGATAGCGACAATCTTCGCGGATGGGAAAGGCACTTGGAGTTATCGCTCGTCACTGCTTCTTGCATCCGGTCACGTACGTTAGGCGCGGCGAATGTCGATCGCGTGTCACGACGGCTCGCGCTGAGAGCGGCGGAGTGACTTCGCTCTCTTCGACGTCGTGCACGCGGTAGGCCAGACCGTTCGGAGGCGCGCGCTGTGCTCGACTGACGGAACGGGCGATTGAAGGCAGCCGAGCAAGGCCGGAGCCTGTGGCACCGCGCGTCGCGACATCGGCCTCTGCGATGACGAAGACCGGCGCGGTACTCCCGCAACAGGACAGCTACTAGAGAACCGGTTAATGGTTAACGATTAAGAAATAATTAACTGTAATTTATCAAATTAATATATAGTAGATACTCAGTTCTGAACATATCATTGAAGAGCGAAATTGTTTAAGCAAATTAGTAGAAAAAAGTGAGAACTGCAACTAGTGTCCGTTATGTCAACAAGTTTTAAATGAATCTTAAGAATTACAGGTTTTTTTTGCAACAAGACATTACACCTGTCGCTATAGTCATCATGCGGTAATTACAAAGAGTAAATGACTTCTTTGACGAAATTATCTCAAAATCCGATTAGCAAAGTTAAATATAAGTCTCATTAAAGTGATGTAACATAATTTTCCAAGATTTAATAAACTATAGGAAATTGAAAGGAATAATGATTAGAAAATCTTAATTCGCAAGTGTCTAGGATTAAATTTAACTAATTTTTCATTTAGAAAAACATTGTAGGAAAAATAAAAAATAAATTGATTTGCGAATAGAATAGAATACTACGAAACTATTAAGCGCTAAGTAGGAACAAGGTTACAAGGTTACTGATACACAAAAGCATCTCGGACAAAAAAATCGAAGTTAGGTCACTGAAAGTAACAAAGTTTTGAAATATCATCCTTGTCCTAACACATGTGCTAATGACACGATTGACATTTTAGAAATGCCAATTCGCGACATTTTGCTCGGCATTGTCCCAAACGATACGTCTATTAAAACTATGTGTGCATCAACTTCAAATTTATATTTTTCCAATCCCACGAGTACCATAACACATGAGTAATATTAATATGAAGAAATATTGCAACTTGCTATAATTAAAAAAAAAATGGACGTAAAAACTCAATTTCATGAAGGATTCTCAAAATCAAGAAAAAAAGTGACAAGAAAATACTCTACCTTTCAACATTAACGAAGAATCGATTATTTAACTAGCACCTTTGCAATTTATTGCGTGCATCTTTTCTTGTTATACATCATGGCATGTTATTAGTATATTAATTTTACTAATTAGGAATTAGATTCCCTACGTATCGTGACAAGTTCCCTTGTCGCTTCTGCCAAGTCAATAATTAAGTTTCTCCTGATATGTCCAGCGCGGTTACATTATTCAGCAAGCTGGTATACAATATTTATGAATAATTCGGTAGAGTAATTGAAAGTTGCGTGATGAAAGAGCTAATGGAAGAAACTTCTACGACATGTGCTATCGTCACTGCCGAGGGTTTCTCACATATGACACGCGTTTCGGATATTATATCAGGAAAAACGCGTCGAGCGTAGCGAAGATGATACATCATCGCCGAGACAACTTCATTTGTCTACCAAAGAATGGAGATAATTCAATTAAGTTGTGTCTCATCGGACGGCGACTTAAGATTCCCAATCATGTATTCTTTATAAAAGAAGAAAAAACATGTGATTTACGATGCGTTCAAAAACAGATGAAAATAAACACGCGATCTATACAAGAGAAGCATCCGAAATAGCTTCGTGTAAGCACGTTGTATTTCATCGGTTCTATTAATAATAGGTTCTATTAATAATAATTAATAATAGCGTGACTCGCCGATTCACGAAAATTTCAACTTTATTGATCTTCTGACAATCGCATCCTTTTCAACGTGACGCAATTAGTCACGCAATTAGTCGCGCAATGCACCAGTTCTATATCAATTAAAGTAAACATTGCGAAAATGTAATTTGACGAAAAAGCGCACCTGTCTTACGACATTACATTCATAAAGAGAACTATTAAATTAAACGAAACGTCATTAATGACATGCGACAAGAAATTAAAGTGCAAGAAGCGGTGTTCTTAACATATACACTTAACATATCGATCCGTTTTTTAATCGCATGAATGGCGTAAATAACAGAAGGTAATCGATAATTCACAGTTCCTTCATTTGATAGAACATGTGATAGAACAAGAAAAAAAGCGCTCGGCATAGGATATTATGTCTGGAATATTGTCTCGTAGAATTTTCAGAATTATCGATGTGGATAGACACTATCACCTTGTATACGTAACGGCAGGTCAATCGATGAGATATATATATATATATATATATATATATATATATATATATATACAATAAGTAAGTAG